AAAAAAAAAAAAAAAAAAAAAAAAAAAAAGTGTCGTTTCCTTAGGGATTTAGAATAACATCACGGGCAGTGGCGGTCCAAAGAGAGAGGCCGCAGGAAGCTCGATGACAGGTCCTTACGTGAAGCCAAAACGATTGCCATGAAGGCACAGCACGATGCCGATGCAGCCGATTACCAAAAATGGAAAGTTGGACAATACATTCAGCGTATTAGGAATACCTGCACAGCAAACCCACACAACCACACAGAGACAATCAATGTCATCGTAAGTAGCAGCATCAGAAATACACACACAAGTTGTGCATCCCCGCCTCGCGAAGCAAGCGACACCCACATGCAATGAGCAAAAAAACGAGATCACCTCTGAATCACACAGTTCAACAACTCCTGTTGGTCAGAAAAATAGTGTTAGAGGCTCTTCTCTTATCCACTCCTTCCTTCCACTACCACACTCCTGCCCACCATCTCCTTTTCTCCTTCTTCTTCTCCTTCTTCTTCTTCTTCTTCTTCTTCTTCCTCTTCGTCGACGACGATCGTCGTCACGGTCTTTGGAACTGTGAGGGACTTCGGAAGTGTGAGGGACTTTGGAACTGTGAGGGATTCCAACCAATTGTGTGAGCCTTGTCGTAAAGTGGTGGGTATGCTCGAATTGCGTGAAGTCCTACCCCAAGTCGTAACAGGTCAAACATGGAGAGGACCCCTAAACCAGTGTATTAACCAGCATGTGACCATGGTTAGGTGGGCAGTGGCATACGGGTGGGGTCGGGGGGGGGGGGGGGGGGGGTCCAAGCGACAACGGACCCCAAGCGAGCGGAATTGTTGAACTCGGGGTGGCTGATTCTGATTTTCAATCTGGGCGGTCCGGGCTGGCTGAAGCGTCACAGGGTCAGGTGGTGGCCCTACTACAGGTAGGAGATAGGTAGGCCATATAAGGGGGTTAGGCCGTACCAGGGGTGGGGGGGGGGGCGGGGGGGCGCGGTGGTCGAAGCCACCACTGCACCCCTAGCGAAATTGGGCAAATAGTAGATTCATTTTTGACCCAGTCCGGGCTATCTGAACCGTCACAGGGTCAGGTGGGACCTACCCGGGGGGTAGGGTAGGGAATTTTTAAGGGGTTAGGCCCTACCAGGGCGCGATACCAGTGGTCTACACGACCACTGCACCCCAAGCGAAATTGTCGAAATAGTCGGTTCATTTTTCCCCAACTCTGGTTGATGATTAAAAAAAAAAAGGCAACCTGGTTGATTAAAAAAAAAAGAAAAAAAAAGGCATAAAAAGCACTAACGAACTCCTAGGTTTTCAGACGGCAAAACTCCTTCCCGACCACACAGTTGTCTTTTTTCTTTTTTCTTTTTTCTTTTTTCTTTTTTTTGGGGAAACAAAGAGGATTCCATTATCATGAAACTGAAAACTGGTGTCTTTTTTCTTTTTCTGGCCAGGCCATTATCATTAAACTGAAAACTGTTGTCTTTATTCTTTTTCAGGCCAGGCCATTCTCTTTTTTTTTTTTTTTTTTTTTTTTTTTTTTTTTTTTTTTTTTTTTTTTCCCCCTCCCCCCTTCCCTTTTTTTTTTTTTTTTTTTTTTTTCCTCCCCCCCCCCCCCTTTTTTTTTTTTTTTTTTTTTTTTTTTTTTCCTTCTTTTTTTCTTTTTTTTTCTCCCCATCACGCCTTCCGTCTTTTTCTTTCTTTTATTTCTATCACGCCCTTGTCCTTTTTCCTCCCCCCTTTGATCACGCCGTTGTCTTCGGCTATATACGAAGAAAGAAAGAAAGCCCGCCAGCTGTCCCATACCGTACACCACCTTCTTCTCCCTTCTCTCCCCCTCTCCCCCCGTTTTTATAGGAGCACCATCAGCACTTGGACATCAACCGCATCGCCATAGCCATCGTCGTTCCCTTCGTCCCATCATCGTTCATGATCATCGTCATCGTTACCATCATCATCATCATTTCAACGTCATCGTGATCACCATCCTCTTCCTCCTCCTCATCATCATGACGATTTCAACAGCATCATCATCGTCATCACCGTCATTTCAAAAGCATCATCATCATCATCATCACCACCACCACCACCACGATCATCATTGCCACATCATCCCATCCATCCTCATTTATCATCATCGTCATCATCAAGACAATTTCAACAGCATCAGCATCGTCATCCATCATCACCCCCATCATCACCCCCATCACCACCGTCATAGTCATCATCATCATCATCATTATCATTAACTTCGTATCAAGACACAATCATCGTCTTCATCGTCATCACCATCGTCCTTTTCATCCTTTTCCTCCTCCTCCTCCTTATCATCATCATCATCATCATCATTGTTTCGCGAGAATTAGAACCATCATCGATCCGTCGTGTTCATTTCATTTCGACCCCATCCTCATTGCATCAGCAAGACCGCTGTCATTTCATAGTGATCATCATCATCATCATCATCATCGACGTCGTCGTCGTCGTCATGTTCATCATCGTCATCCTCCTCAGTCCCAATCATCGTCGTCTTCATCTCATCCTAGATTGATAGCTCGATTGATTGGTTGCTCACTTCGATTGCCTGCTTGATTTCTTTGATTGGCTTTGATTGGCTTCAGACTGCTTTGACTGGCTTCGATTGGCTTTGATTGGCTTTGATTGATTGGATTGCCTTCGATTGGCTTTGATTGATTGGATTGCCTTTGATTGGCTTTGATTGATTGGATTGCCTTTGATTGGCTTTGACTGCCTGTTTAATTCCTTGGATCGATTGATTGCTTGATTGCTTTGATTGCTTGATTACATTGATTGGCTGTTCGATTGCTCGATCGCGTTACGACTGCGTGAGCACGAACAGTGTTACGCGATCGGCTGTGCAATTGAATGTGTTCAATATAAGGGATGACGACTACCGTCTTCACCGGAATAGAACGCCCGGTCATTATAGCTGTATTTGGTGCAACTGTCAGTCTAGATACAGTGAAAATGACAGGGCGTTCTATTCGGGTGAAGACGGTAATCAAATGGATAGTGAATAGGATTGATGGCTCTGACCATTCACTAACTGATTTGGACAGCAGATTGGCTGATCCGTTGACTACCGTAGGAACCTTTCGGGATTTTTTTAATCATCAAAATTTATCAAATTATTAATTAAGATTTATTTCCCCTCCCCCTTCGATGGGTCGATAGATTAACCAGTCTACCGCACTTCTACACCCCCATCTAAATCTAACCACGCAATCGAAATCTTACCACGCAATCGAAATCTTCCCACGCTAAATCTAACTACGGATTATTACTGTAGGATCACTATCCGAGCGATCGCTATATCTAACCACGCAATCGAAATCTTACCACGCTAAATCTTACCACGCAATCTCAATATTCTAACCAGTCTACCGCACTTCTACACCCCCATCTAAATCTAACCACGCACTCGAAATCTTACCACGCTAAATCTAACCACGGATAATTACTGTAGTATCACTATCCGAGCGATCGCTAAATCTAACCACGCAATCGAAATTAAATTTCTACACCCCCCAATCAATCAGTCTACTCCACTCTTACATCAACCAATCAATCAATCAATCAATCAATCAACCAATCAATCAATCTATCAACCCATATATTATACAAATCCACCCATCGCCAGATCGCCCAAATAATCCACTCCTCCCGCACAGGACCCCGCACAGAAATAACGCTCTTCTGACAGAAGAATCAAGAAGAAGGAGAACAACAACAACAACAACCACAAGTAGAAGAAGAAGGAAGAAGCAGGA